TACCAACATCTCCAACTGAGAGCAGTTCAAGTTTAAAGAAATGACAAAGGAACCAATCAGAAAAACTTTTTCACCTCTACACCAACGAAAAAAACTTAAGAGGTTAGTCTTTATAAAAAATAAAATAAAACAAATAACTAAGTAAACATTTTTTTTTCATTACTAGATGTGCATTAATGATTAATCACTTTCCATTTACATGATCCAAGTGATACCACAAGTGGATACAGTGAAGAGGTCATCGCATCTGCAGAGACTTATGACAAGAATGTAGCAAACACAGATCAAACCTCAAGCAAATAGAGTATGGATCCCAACACTCATAAATCAATGTTCTTAATGATAAGTGAATTTTATATTATATATTTAACCCTATTCTTGGTATATTTTGGTTAATATTTTGGAAGAATTTTGATACTTTGAATTGTATTTTCAATATAGGACTCTCGACTTCCTCTGAAGCAAAACGTGGTCAAATGGACGAATTTTGGAGTAATTCCAGTTGGAAGACGTTCGTGAGTTACTTAGCGTGATCGTATCAAGAATTGGGATTTTTCCATCAAGCGGTTATTTTCTAGCGATAAAATAAAGGAGCGATGCGCTGTGCTGGAAAATGACGTTTCTGGGCTTAAATTGCGTTTTTAGAGCCCAAGATGACCTCTGATGGTTTCGTGGCCTTCTGGAGATGTGTTTGGAACGTCCTTAACTTTAAAACAAGCTATCTTGGGCCGGATTTGGAGTAGATCTGAGACTAAAACGTGGCTGGACAAGTACTTGGCAGATTCTCCTAGTTAGTTAGGGTTTTATTTTCTAAGATATTTTATTATTTTTCTTAGTTTCCTAGTTGGAGTAAGAAACCTATGTCTTAGGGTTTGTGAGGGCTGAGCAAATATATTGCTTTGGCCGTCTACAGTTTTAGACGACGCTTATTATTATTTAACTTTAGAGACAGAGAAACTTAAAGGTGTTTTCATTCCTTTTCTTCTTAATAATATTTTCTATGATTTCAGTTATGAATATGCATAACTAATTCTTCTTGCTAGGGCGAAGCCTTGAGCCTTAGCATGAATATGTAATTTTTATTTAATTGTTTATGATTGATTGCATGCACACTTTGAATTATTGATCACTGTTTTAAACTATCTAATTATCTTGATGATTGGCCACCATTAAGATGTTTAGACAAGTAATTGGATGCAATTCGGTCGGAATATCACCGGAGGATTGAGTATTGCTTCTTGTGATTGATAATTGTAATTTCATCTAAGGCGAATATCACGTTCTTAGGAGTTGCATGGTTCTTCAAAAGGTTTTCATAAAACTTAATGAGTCTTGCATGTTCATATTTGATCTGAATATCATAGACGGATTGCATGTTAGACATACGTTCTTGCTTGAATATCACGAGGAGAATATGTATTAGGAAAACCTAACCTTCGAAGTGGCATGTGTAAATCGTAAGTAATTGGTAGAAATTCATAGGATTGCTAGGTGATGGTGGAACCCTAATGCCTTTATAAATTGGTATTTAAAACTCTTTTCTTCGATTATTTTAGTTTTTGTTTAAAATTCATTTTTTAATATTACCCACTCTCAAACTCTCTTTTCTCAAGATTTAATTCTAAGTATTTAATTAGGAATTGTTTCTACATCAATTATCCAAATAGTCCTTGAGGAAAACGACCTTGCATGAGCATCTATACTACAATATCCTTGTATTCTTGCAAGTATTTCATGTGATTTTGACTCTAGTTGCATAGACATTAAAAATCCAATCACTTAACAATTTTTTTTCCATCTTGAATGAGTAGTCTCTCTAATATGGAATTATGTCTTTATAAATATTAGATAATATAGATCTGCCTATTTCACTTGGGTTGTTGGTGAAAATGATTTGCATAATATGAATTTATGACTATTTGCAATTTGACGAAATCTATGATCATTCCAATTCCTGTTACAAAGTACTAACTCCATTAATCTGATTTCATTTTTCACAATCAAACTAAATAGATGCTACATAAGAAACATGACCTAATATGATGATCGTCAGTATATATTTCTTGCTTTATTAGAAGCTTAGTATCTGAGGAAGAACTTTTATATTCACAATTGTAGTTCGATTTTTGCTTATATTGTGTGTGTTGAGTATAAGTATGCCGCTAATGGAAGTAAAATATATAAATATGTTTAGGGTTAATCAATGATTGTTTAAATTTTTGGCCAATGTTAGAGAAACGATTAAGCGTTTTTGTTTGATTGTATTACTGTGCTTGATAAATGATTAAGGAGTAAGAAATTGTTTTTTGCTTATGCTTTGCTTAGGTGTGTACTTGATTAGATGTTGGGTTGGTTATTTTGGAGCTTTCAACATGACTTTCGATATCTAATACAAAATGTGAATAACCCAAGTTCAATTTTGTCAAATTTTTTTGTGTGGCTTGAAAAGAAATTTAACATTCTTAAATATGTCATAATTAGATAATACAAAGTTGCTTTCGTCTTTAGATAGTATCATATGTCATTCAATTTATTCCTATGCAATTTAGAGTCATCCAATTCATAAGTGATCAAATTCTGTTATTAATTTTTTTGTTTTGAATTTCAGTTCATTACTGTCGTACAAGACGAATGAGGTGCCATTAACGTAGTTATGCATATGGGTGCCTTTAATGGAACAAATCTTACTTTTTAAGCTTTGTACAGTCTTAGATGTAAAAGACTCATTGGGATAGGACCATAGCTTTTGAAAAACAATCCATGAGGATGGCCTACTAACATCCTCAATTTTTGTCATGTAATATATGAATGTAAATAGAACTTCTTGGCTATAGCATACTACCATCCTAATTTTCGTCATGTAGTATGAGAATGTAAATAGCACGCTCTAACTATGGCATATCATCATCCTTAATTTCTCATGTAATATATTTATATAAGCACTACTTTTTGGCACATATTTTTTTCAAAACTTTTTCATGTTTAACATAGTTTTGAAACCCGCAGCATTGCACAGGCTCAGATGCTTGTCTGTATCTATTATTGGAAATCTATTAGCATTAATCTATAGTAACAAAAATGCTACCCTGTAGACTGCAAACTTAAAGTGACTATTGTTTTACATGTGAATTTTTTAGTATAAATAATTATGGACATCTGCAAATAGCTGAGTTTAGTTTGTACATCCACGCAACTGAGATCTCTCTTTCTAAGGAAAATGATTCCACTTGTCCAGTGTTTCTTGATTGCCTATCGTTAATAGCAATAGCATTCAGTTTTTAATCTCCCTTTGCTCATCATAATGCATTAAGATCTTCAAGAATGCTTACACTGTAGGTCTGAGTTTTGTTAGTCTGTTTAAACTAATAAATAGTTCTTGGAGTTTGGGAACTGATGAGTAGATTTTATATTATATATTTTACCCTAATCTTAGTATATTTTGGTTAATATATTGGAAGAATTTTGATACTTTGAATTGTATTTTCAATATAGGACTTTCGACTTCCTCTGGAGCAAAACAGGACCAAATGGACGAATTTTGGAGTAATTCCAATTGGAGGACGTTCGTGAGTCAATTAGCTTGATCGTATCAAAATTTGGGATTTTTCCACCAAGCAGTTATTTTCTGGCGATGAAATAAAGAAGCCGTGCGCAGTGCTGGAAAGTGACGTTTTTGGGCTTAAATGACGTTTTTGGAGCCCAAGATGACCTCGGATGGGTTCGTGGCCTTCTGGAAAGTGTTCAGAATATTCCAAACATCAAATCCAGCTATATTGGGCCAGTTTTGGAGCAGCTTTTGGGCCAAAACGTGGCTGTTCAGATTTTAGACGAATTTTACTATTTTTATTTAGGGTTTTTATTAATTTTAGTTGGCTAGGGTTTTTGTGGTGGCTTAGCAAATATATTGCTTAGCCGTCTACAGTTTTAGAGGACGCTTTATTGTATGCAATACTGGAGACAGAGAGGAGTGCTAGGGTTTTGAAGATTTTCTACTTGAAGGTGTTTTCAATCTTTTTCTTAAGAATATTTTCTATGATTTCAATTATGAATATGCGGAACTAATTTCTTTTGCTAGGGCGAAGCCTTGAGCCTTAGCATGAATATGTGATTTTTATTAAATTTCTTATGATTGATTGCATGCGTATTTTGAATTGTTAATCACCGGGATAAAAACTATCTAATTGTCTTAATGCCTGATCACCATTAGGATCTTTAGAAAAGTAATTTGATGCAATTTTGGTCGGAAGGTTCCCTGAAATTGACGCTGGCTTCTTGTGATTAATAATTGTAATTTCTCTTAGGATGAATATCACGTCTTAAGGATTGCATGGTTTTTCAAAGGATTTTCATAAAGCATAATGAGTCTTTCATGTTTAGATTTGATCCGAACGTCCGGACAGGTTGCATGTTAGATATACGTTCTATGTTGGAGGTTCCAAGTAGAATATGAATTAGGAAAATCTAACCTTCAAAGTGGCATGTGTAGATCATAAGTAATAGGTAAGAATTCATAGGATTACTAGGTGATGGTGGAACCCTAGTGCCTTCTCAATTTGATTTTTTTTCATAACTGTTTTCTTCTCTCTAGTTTTAATATTGCAGATTGTCTTATCATTAATAGTTAAATTCGTTTTTAATTTAAGTCGATTATAAAATCAATCATCTAAATTTCTACTTTACAATCATTAATTGGAATCTGATTTGTTTCGAATTATTTAATAATCCCTGTGGAGAATGACCTTGCGAGATCCGTTTATACTACAATAACCTTGTGATTCTTGCAAGTAAAATAGAAGGTTTTTATCACATTCACATAAGCAGTAAAAATCCTATCAAGAAAATGGCGCCGTTGCCGGGGATTATTTAAAATAATCCCTACGAATCAGATTTTCAATTAGTATTGCTGTTTATACATATATAAAAAAAAACAAAAAAATATTTAATTTTCGTTTTCATCTATTTTTACAGATTACAACAGTACAGATTTCAGAAATCTGTGCATGGTCAGCACCCGTTCAACAGTGCAAAAATTGATTCCACTTGATCCAGAATTTGAGCAGCATTTAAGGAGGAAACGCAAAGAGCAAAATTTGCAGCGGGTTCGTCCTTTGCAGGAGAGGTTTCTGGAATCAGTCTTTTCTGGGGACCTGCACAACAAAGAAAAAATGGCGTTTATAATTCCAGAGGCAGGTCTGCCCCTGGGTGATTCACTGACTGCCCATACCACAAATATACCCAGTTGCATCACATATCCAGCAGTGGAGGAAGGGACTGCATTTGAAATAAAACAGCACATGTTGAATATTCTACCTACGTTTCATGGGTTGTCATCTGATGATCCTAACATGCACATTGCGGAATTTTTAATGGGTTGCAAAAACATTTTGGTGAGGGGATTTTCAGCCGAATCTATTAAGCTGCGGTTGTTTCCATACACTCTAAAAGATCAGGCAAGGAGATGGCTCCTCACACTCCCATCTGGAAGCATTACAACTTGGGCCCAACTCAGTGAAAAATTTCTAAACAAGTATTATCCAGCTTCTAAGACCCTTGACATGAGAACTCAGATTTTATCTTTTGCCCAAAAACCAAATGAAGAGTTTCATGAGGCGTGGGAGCGATTTAAGGAGTTGATTAGAAAATGTCCACATTCGGGTATTAACACTACTGATCAAATGCACATATTTTTCAGAGGGTTGAATATGACTACAAAAACTCTTGTCAACGCTTCATGCGGAGGTACGTACAAAGACAAAAATGCACAAGAGGCTTGTTTGTTATTTGAAAAAATGGCAGAAGATACTCAGCAATGGGCAGTGGAGCAACCACAATCTAGGTCAGCTTTTGAGATGCCAAATGGTTCTCCATATGTTACAGCACAAATTGAAAAAATGGAGAAAAGGCTAGAAGCAAAATTTGACATGTTATTACAGAGAATGCCAGGTTCACAGGTTGCTGTACAGCAGCCTTTACAAGCTGCCTGCAGCATTTGCAACTTGACAAATCATGATTTTTTGAGCTGTCCACATAAAGATGCTTATCCGGAATTTACAGCAGAGCAGGTTAATTCATTTAACAATTTCCAGCGTCCCCGATATGACCCGTATTCTAATTTCTACAACCCAGGTTGGAGAGATCATCCTAATCTAAGGTGGGATAAGGAACAGCACACTAGACCTCAATTTCAACAGCAGGTACAGCAACCTGCTGCACCTAAGGCTGCCTGGGAGGTAGCGATTGAAAAATTGGCAAATACTACCACTCAAGAAATTCAAAATCTGCAGGCATCAGTGAAAAACATGGAAAACAAATTGGGCAGATTGCTTTGCAGGTTTCTGGAAGGGCTCCAGGTACATTTCCCAGTCAAACCGAACCAAATCCTAGGGGAGGTGCAGATTGCAAGGCAGTTAGAATTCTACGTTCCGGAAAAAGTTTTGATAACAGGGATGAAAATTGCATTCAAAATTCGCAGGTGATTTCACAGCCTAAAACAGATTCGGGGATTGTTGAAAAATCTGCTAATTCAAAAGATTCTGAACAGACAGTGAACAGTTCCGAAAATAGTGCAGTTATTGTTGAGGATCGTGTTTATGAGCCACCTATGCCTTATCCCGAACGGTTGAAGCCTAAAGTTAAAGATCAACAATTGACAGATTTCATGAAGACTTTGTCTAAAGTTCAGATAAATCTGCCGTTAATTGATGCCATCAAAAACATTCCGTCTTATGCCAAGTTTTTGAAGGATGTTTGCACAAAGAAAAAGAAGCTTGTGGATTTTGAGAAAGTGATTCTTACAGAACAGTGCAGCGCTGTTCTGCTTCACAAATTGCCCCCAAAGAAACAAGATCCAGGGAGTTTTACAATTTCATGCACAATTGGAAATTCTCATTTTAAACGTGCTTTAATTGATTTAGGTGCTAGTATTAATTTAATGCCTTTTTCTGTTTTTCAGAGACTAGGACAAGGAGAAATCAAGCCTACATCAGTTATTCTACAACTAGCGAACCGTTCAGTTGCTTATCCAAGGGGTATTATAGAAGACCTAATTATTAAAGTGGATAATCTCTACCTTCCTGCAGATTTTGTGATTTTGGATATGGATGAAGATATGCAAACACCGATTATTTTGGGGCGTCCCTTCATGGCTACAGCCAGAACGTTAATTGATGTAGAGGCTGGGACACTTACACTTAGAATGCAAGATCAATCTGTTGTGTTCAGTTTATTTGAAGCTACCAAAAGGCCAGGTGATGTGCATGACTGTATGCGTGTTGATGTGCTTGACAGCATATTACATGCTGAAATTATGTCACGTTTGACATCTGATCCATTGTTAAATGTGTTGCACGGGTTTGAGAATAAATATACAGAAGATGAAGAGGTTTTTGAGTATGTTTCAGCTTTGGAAAGTGTTCCTTTTCAACCTCCACGTTGGAGGCACGTTTTTGAAAGTTTGGGGGAACCCAAAAAGCTATTGCAACCTTCTAAGGTACAGCCACCTAAACTGGAGTTAAGGGTGCTTCCAGAACACTTGAAATATGCTTACTTGGGTGCAGATTCTTCGCTGCCAGTTATTATAGCTGCTGATTTATCATCAACAGAGGAAGATAAATTGTTGCGCATTTTTAAGGAGTCATCAAGATGCAATTGGCTGGACTATAGCTGACATTAAAGGGATCAACCCTACAATTTGTATGCACAAAATTCTGATGGAGGATGGAGTAAAACCTGCCATTGACGCACAACGTCGGTTAAATCCGATTATGAAAGAAGTGCTTCGTAATGAAGTTATGAAACTTCTAGATGCTGGGATGATCTATCCCATTTCAGATAGTAAGTGGATTAGTCCAACTCAAGTGGTGCCTAAGCGTTCTGGTATTACAGTTGTGAAAAATGATAATAATGAACTTGTGCCTACTCGCTTGACTACTGGGTGGCGTATGTGCGTTGATTATAGAAAGATCAATGCGGGAACTAGAAAAGATCATTTTCCATTGCCTTTCATTGATCAAATGTTGGAAAGGTTGGCTGGTCGTGCTTTCTACTGTTTCTTGGATGGCTATTCAGGGTACAACCAGATTCCAGTTGCCCCTGAGGATCAAGAAAAGACAACCTTTACTTGTCCTTTTGGAACTTTCGCATATAGAAGAATGCCTTTTGGTTTGTGCAATGCGCCTGCTACGTTTCAGCGTTGCATGATGAGCATATTTACCGGGTTAGTTGAACATGTAGTTGAGGTATTTATGGATGATTTTTCTGTTTTTGGGGATTCTTTTGACCAATGTTTGCAGAATTTATCTTTAGTTCTGGACAGATGCATTAAGACCAACCTGGTTTTAAACTGGGAAAAGTGTCATTTCATGGTTAGGCAGGGAATTGTCTTGGGCCACTTGATTTCTAATAGGGGTATTGAAGTTGATAAGGCTAAAATTGATGCAATTGAAAAGTTGCCACCCCCGACAACTGTTAAGAGTGTTCGATCTTTTCTTGGGCATGCCGGGTTTTATAGACGGTTCATCAAGGATTTCTCCAAGATTAGCCGACCCTTGTGTAATTTATTGGCTAAAGACGCCCCTTTCATTTTTGATGAGGCTTGTTTGGAGGCCTTCAAGAAGTTAAAGACACTCCTCACTACAGCACCCATTATTGCAGCTCCTAATTGGAGCTTACCTTTTGAACTGATGTGTGACGCATCAGATTATGCAGTGGGGGCAGTTCTTGGACAGCGGAAAGATAGACTTCCCCAAGTTATTTATTATGCTAGTCGAACCCTCAATGATGCACAACTAAATTATGCAACAACAGAGAAGGAATTGTTGGCAGTCGTTTTTGCTTTGGAAAAATTTCGTTCGTATTTAGTTGGAGCTAAAGTGATTGTTTATACAGATCATGCAGCTTTGAAATATTTGTTGTCTAAAAAAGATGCTAAGCCTCGATTAATTCGTTGGATTCTTTTATTGCAAGAGTTTGACTTAGAAATCAAAGATAAAAAGGGCAGTGAAAATGTGGTGGCTGATCATTTGTCTAGATTGATTATTCCCACAGTTTCAGAAGAGGATTCCCTACCACTGAGGGAAAGTTTTCCAGATGAACAGTTATTTGCAGTCCATTTCCGTTCACCATGGTTCGCTGATATTGTTAATTACTTAGTTAAAGGTGTAGTGCATCCAGATTTAACATTTCAGCAGAAAAAGAAGTTTTTATCTGATGTGAAGCATTATTTCTGGGATGAGCCATACCTATTTAAGTATTGCCCAGACCAGATTATTCGCAGGTGTATTCCAGAAGCTGAACAGGAAAGCGTTTTAAGGTTTGCTCATCATTTTGCTTGTGGAGGACATTTTGGGCAGAAAAGGACAGCAGAGAAAATTTTGCAAAGCGGGTTATTTTGGCCTACACTTTTTAAAGATGCTTATAATTGGTGCATGGCTTGTGATAGGTGTCAAAGAGTCGGCAACCAGTCCAAAAGGAATGAGATGCCCCAGCAAAGTATTTTGATTGTTGAATTATTTGATGTTTGGGGTATTGATTTCATGGGACCATTTCCATCTTCCCATGGGAATCAATATATTTTAGTGGCTGTGGAGTATGTGTCTAAGTGGGTCGAGGCCATAGCAGCACCAACTAATCAAGGATCAGTAGTCCTGAGGTTCCTCCAAGGTGTTATATTTCCGCGATTTGGAATTCCACGCGTTATTCTTAGTGATGGGGGAAAGCACTTTATTAATAAACCATTTGCTAATTTGTTGGCAAAATATGGGATTAATCATCGTGTGGCTACACCTTATCATCCACAGACATCTGGTCAAGTGGAAGTTTCAAACAGAGAATTAAAACGCATTTTGGAGAAAACAGTTGGTTCAACACGAAAAGATTGGAGTTTAAAACTAAATGATGCATTGTGGGCCTACAGGACAGCTTATAAAACTCCTATTGGGATGTCGCCATTTCGACTCGTTTATGGGAAAGCATGTCATCTACCTATGGAGCTGGAGCATAAGGCTTACTGGGCAATTAAAGAGTTAAATTTTTCTTATGACGCAGCTGGGGAACAACGTAAATTGCAGCTCAATGAGCTGGAGGAAATTCGTCAGGGTGCTTATGAAAGTTCTCGCATCTACAAGGAAAGAACTAAAGCGTTTCATGACAGTCAAATTTTACGGAAAGAATTCCAGCCAGGGCAAAAGGTGTTGCTATTCAGTTCAAGGCTAAAGTTGTTTCCAGGAAAATTGAAATCTCGTTGGACTGGACCGTATGTGGTTACAAAAATCTTTCCTCATGGGGCAGTTGAAATATCTAATGAGGCTCAAGTCAACACATTCAAGGTGAATGGTCACAGGCTGAAACCATACATGGAGTCACCCTTCGATACAGCATACGAGTCTTTGACTCTGAAGGCACCAGTGATCTAGCCACCGAACTTCCGCAACGTCTAGCTACAGACTTAAAATAAAGCGCTAATTGGGAGGCAACCCAATTTTTCTAAACTCTTTGCTAATTTTAATTTTTGTTTGATTTTCTCTTAAAAAAAAAAAAGAAAAAAACATACACATAAAAATAATTCGGAAGAAAAAAAAAAAAACTAAAAATTCAAAAAAAAAAATAAATAAATAAATTTGGAAGATGGCAAGTTGATTTTATTTACCCATTTTATTTTTATTTTTATGTTCCATTTTTTAACGCGTATTGGTTAATTGCAGGTTGCGAACATGGAAAATAAAGCGCGTCCTAGGCTGGAATCCTGCACCCAGCAGCAAGTCTAACGTTCACATCAACCACATCTACACTAGGCAGGAAATTTAAAGCAGTCAATATAAAAAAAAAAAAAAAAAAAAAAAAATCATTCACAGATGCAAGTTTGGGGGTGATTGTTGTAGATCCAGCGCATAAACAGAGTTTAGAGCAGTTAATTTTCTGCAGCTCAGTTGTGCGATGCATGGAGGAAGCACAATTAAATCACAGATCCATACACCACAGAACCGAGTACAGCTATTATTACCAGATCTACAACAATTCCACTTGCAAGGATATGAAATTTTACCTCCCAGATTCACCGATCTGGGTTCTTGGAAGCTTGTCCCGTTTTTGTCTATTGCAGCTGAGGTTTCGCCGTCCATTTTATTTCCCACGGATCTATCAGTGACCACATTTCCTGCATAGTTCACAACAAGAAGACTAATGACACTTTGATTTTCATGATCCAGGTTATGTATCACTTAAAACACACAAGCTTGTGAAAGTCATATTTTCTGAAGGTCTTATTAGTGTTGTTATTTGTTCATCAGTCTCCCGCACTTCAACTTCACTTTCATCATATCATGTTAGTCAGTATGTTGTTCGTTCGATTCATGTTCATACCCGCATATACATATGGTTTTTGTTATTATTTTTCAAAGTTCCATGGACGAAATAAAGCGTTTCATGACATTTAACCAAGAACAGGGCTGAGTTTATACCTTCATAATCGAAAGATCAAACCTTCATGATGGGCCATGCTTTATGTCCAGTGGATTTTCAGTTTGAGAGTTCTTTCTCGGGTCTGTCACAGATCTGAGTGTTGTGCACACATACCACACCATTATAATTATATGCATAGGTGATGAAGCTATTTTTGTCATTAACCTACGGAGTACAAGATTTTTACCTTTTGCAGGAACCAGATCTGCATGGTAGCTGGTTTGCATTGCGTTTTCCTTGTCATGGCTAAACTTCCAGATCGAGAACCTGTGCACATAAACAAGATACCACATCAGTCTACACATGCAGTGTGGAGTATATGAGACGCAAAAATGGACAAGGTTTACCTCTGTGGTAGGGTTGTTTTCGGATTTTTGCAGAGGAAGGTGTGTGTGGTTGCGCGGCTAAGGGTGAAGAGGAGTAAGGAAATGAGAGACAAATGTGATAGAAGGAGAGCTCTTTTTCATTTTAGAGAGCAATTTCTGATTTTAGTGAGAGCGAGGGCTGAAAAATAAAATGGAAGATTGGTAGGAAAAGGAATGCAGAACTGAGATGGTTTAAAAGTTTTTTTAGCTTTTCTAGAAAGAGAGATGGACAAATGGGTTTATCTAAACCTTTTATTTGGAATCCTAAGGTGTGGTGAAACGGATGCGCGACACGTGTGCCTATTTTCAGCTTCACGGGCTACTCGAGGAGGATGGTTTTGCAGTGGTAGAGAGCCGTTGGCTCTGTGGTACTGACTGACACATAAAAAAATAAAAAAAATAAATCAAAAAAATATCACTGAGGACTGATAGGGATTTTTTTTCTGACAAGAGACATTGCTCACGCCATATGCAAATTCGCATGCCAGCTGCATGCCAATCAAATATCTCAGAGCATCCAATGCCATTCAAAATCTCAGAGTTTCTTTAATCCAATGGACGCCAGCTGCATGCCCTTCTCAGAGCAAGGCCCTGATGGAAGCCACGTGATGCCCTGCTGATTTCAAATACTGTGTACAGCAGGCGTGCAAGTGAAGGTGGCGTGCAAGTTGGTTTTCATTGCATGGGCTTTGTGTGGTTTTTATTTGGCCACACCTATATCAACCACAACGTCACTTCCAAAGCCAGGTAGTCTTTTTTCTTTTTCTTTGGTTATTGTTACTCATTTTCCTTGTTATAATTATTATTTGTTAGTTTAAGTTTATTTTATTTTTGTCATTTTTTATTTTAGTTTCTTTTATTTTATTTTCTACAACTTGAGGACAAAGTGTGACATAAGTTTGGGGGTGGGAAAGTATTTTAGTTTCATTATTCCTAAGTTAATATCCATAGAGTATTTTAAGCGTTAGAACAAATGGACATGGTGAAAGTTAATCCCACATTAGAGTCTTTTCTATTTATCGTTGCTTAGACACTAATTCATGAATTATACTTTGAACTTTGCACATCACACCAACATGGTTTGTGGGAAGTGAGATTGAAATACTTGCTTTTAGTCTAAGTTTATTTTTAATTTTTAATTTTTATTTTAAGTAAAGTCAGTTATTAGTGTGAAAAAAAAAAAATAAATAAAGTAATAATTGTCTCACCCGAGGTTCTGCCTAGTAACCGGGCCAGTCCTGCCTAATCAGCAGTGATTCTCGCGTCAAACGGTAGAGTTTTGGCATGAGGCAGGGTGGTTAGTTGGTTTCGTAGCCTTTTCAGCTCGGGTTAATAAGTCCTTAGGGGTGTTCTACACCTAGTGTCCTAAAGCCCTAGTGGTTTGGGAGTCATTGACCTAAAGCTCGCTACATGGGTTGGATCGAAAGCTTAAGTAAACCGACATTGCACGACCACTACTGTTACTGAAAAAAAAAAACAAAAAAAATGTTATATATGAAAAAAAAAAAAGTGAAAAAGAAAAAAAAAAGAAAAAGAAAGAGAGTTATATTTAAAGTTACTATGTGTGAAATAAATAAGGACGAGAGGTAAGGGTTTTAGTCGAGTCTCCTTAATTATGTTGGTTCACTTTACACCAAAGGAAGTTTGTGAATTCTTTTCTAATTGATTCTAAATGGCTTAGACTCTGTGGTGGGATTGGTTGGAACTTTTGAAAAGATGTTCTAGTTTTTAAAATTTGCTATGGATTGCAACTTTGAAGGTGAAAATTTTTGTCAGTTAATTTTAGCTAGTTAGTTTGTTAAGTTTTTATTTTTGTTTGAGTCTTGTTTTGCTTGAGGACAAGCAAAAAGCTAAGTTTGGGGGTATTTGATGAGTAGATTTTATATTATATATTTTACCCTAATCTTAGTATATTTTGGTTAATATATTGGAAGAATTTTGATACTTTGAATTGTATTTTCAATATAGGACTTTCGACTTCTTCTGGAGCAAAACAGGACCAAATGGACGAATTTTGGAGTAATTCCAATTGGAGGACGTTCGTGAGTCAATTAGCTTGATCGTATCAAAATTTGGGATTTTTCCACCAAGCAGTTATTTTCTGGCGATGAAATAAAGAAGCCGTGCGCAGTGCTGGAAAGTGACGTTTTTGGGCTTAAATGACGTTTTTGGAGCCCAAGATGACCTCGGATGGGTTCGTGGCCTTCTAGAAAAGTGTTCAGAATATTCCAAACATCAAATCCAGCTATATTGGGCCAGTTTTGGAGCAGCTTTTGGGCCAAAACGTGGCTGTTCAGATTTTAGACGAATTTTACTATTTTTATTTAGGGTTTTTATTAATTTTAGTTGGCTAGGGTTTTTGTGGTGGCTTAGCAAATATATTGCTTAGCCGTCTACAGTTTTAGAGGACGCTTTATTGTATGCAATACTGGAGACAGAGAGGAGTGCTAGGGTTTTGAAGATTTTCTACTTGAAGGTGTTTTCAATCTTTTTCTTAAGAATATTTTCTATGATTTCAATTATGAATATGCGGAACTAATTTCTTTTGCTAGGGCGAAGCCTTGAGCCTTAGCATGAATATGTGATTTTTATTAAATTTCTTATGATTGATTGCATGCGTATTTTGAATTGTTAATCACCGGGATAAAAACTATCTAATTGTCTTAATGCCTGATCACCATTAGGATCTTTAGAAAAGTAATTTGATGCAATTTTGGTCGGAATGTTCCCTGAAATTGACGCTGGCTTCTTGTGTGATTAATAATTGTAATTTCTCTTAGGATGAATATCACGTCTTAAGGATTGCATGGTTTTTCAAAGGATTTTCATAAAGCATAATGAGTCTTTCATGTTTAGATTTGATCCGAACGTCCGGACAGGTTGCATGTTAGATATACGTTCTATGTTGGAGGTTCCAAGTAGAATATGAATTAGGAAAATCTAACCTTCAAAGTGGCATGTGTAGATCATAAGTAATAGGTAAGAATTCATAGGATTACTAGGTGATGGTGGAACCCTAGTGCCTTCTCAATTTGATTTTTTTTCATAACTGTTTTCTTCTCTCTAGTTTTAATATTGCAGATTGTCTTATCATTAATAGTTAAATTCGTTTTTAATTTAAGTCGATTATAAAATCAATCATCTAAATTTCTACTTTACAATCATTAATTGGAATCTGATTTGTTTCGAATTATTTAATAATCCCTGTGGAGAATGACCTTGCGAGATCCGTTTATACTACAATAACCTTGTGATTCTTGCAAGTAAAATAGAAGGTTTTTATCGCATTCACATAAGCAGTAAAAATCCTATCAGGAACTCCTACATTTCATTAATTGTCAGCGCGTGCTTCACTTGAGTGCTTGAGGGAATCAGTTAATTAAACATTCATTACTAAATGAAGTTAATTAGAATTCCGAGTTGGTCAATTATTATTGTTCCTTTAGGAACCATAGTCTTTATGAATGCTAATCTACAGCTTTTTGATGGTTGCTAAACCAAATGGCTTGAAAGCTTCCGTGTTCTTATTCAACATTTCCTTGTTCTGTGTTGCTTGGTTTATGTCATACGTTAGGTTTATATAACTCTGTCTTGTACAACCATTATGCTTTAGTTGTTACCTTGGGGTTTGGGTTTTGTCGACTCCTATTGAACTTACCTTTTACCTTCTTTTTTGTTAGGGCATGCTATGGCCTTTGGTGTCCTTAAATTTGTCATGGAAAGTGGATCAATGGGATGTGAGGTGCGAACGAAAGCCGTTTCCTTTCAATGACATTATTAGTAAGCATTACACACCAACTTAGTAAAGAGATTTATTTTATTTTATTTTATTTTTTAACTTTACAACATGCATGTCATTGTTAGTGGTAAACTCACGGCTCAGCATGCCAAGTACATGGAATTCAAGGATGGATAGATGATATCCTCTGGCCAGCTTGTTAATGAATGTATCGATGCTGTTGTGCGGCACGTGCTTCTTAGATATGTTAGCTCTTCTAGCTTTCTGGCACTTATTGAGATTTTGGTTATCTCTTCCCTGCTTTTGTTATCTTTTACTTACTTTCATATACCCTTATGATGTTTTAGGATGGTCTTGGGTTGGTGCCTGACAAGTGGTGTCACATCCACAAACCAGACACCTAATAGTGCCACGTCCTATTGACATTTTGATACTATGATGTCATGCCGCAACGTTAACACCACGTTCCCAATAGAAAGTAAGGCAAATAGAGTGGAACAAAATTGTGTTTTAACGCCCTACGAGAATGTAAATAAAATTGGTAAGCCAACAATAAATCGAAATTTCAATTTTATTTAACAAGCAAGTTAACTACAATAAAATCAGAGTTTACTTCAAATACAATTTTTAGCAAGGCAAATTCACTTTATCGCCACTGCCATGTTCTCCCGTGACACACCCCGACCCGGAATATCAACTAGGACTTCGAATCGAGCCGTACTGGCCAACACCTGGAAGGTGACGGAGCCATAAAGTGTAATGATGGGGAAAAAGTGAATAAATTTAAACCTAAAAGTGCCAAAATACAAGTGTGCGCTGTGAGAAGAAATGAACTCATTTGACATGTGACGTCAGAGCATAAGTAAAGTACAGTAGAGTGGATTGAAAATTATACCATCGAAGGTAATCTCCATTACCAAGACTTGCCACGAATCCTCGTTGATACGAAAGCTCTGCTACTAGACCTGGAGGGATAAAAACAAGAATGAGTGGGCCATAAAATAAAGCTTTAATAAAGACCTTCTAAACGATATAATCCCTCACCGTAGCACCTGTTTAGTTTCAAGAAAATCATACTACATATAAGTATGAAATCAAAAAGTATACTAACAATGAATCCAGAAGTATACCATCACACAGCATCTCATTAGCAATATAAGTAATCATGTGCTTAATGACCCATACTAGCACGTCAGTCAGAGTCACCTATGGTGACCTGTACGACTACAACCATATCTCATCAATCAATGCTAATACATAAGTTGGAGTCACCTGTAGTGATCTGTACAGCTCATCCATATCTCATCAATCAATGCTAGCTCAAAAGTCAGAGTCACCTATAGTGATCTGTACGACTCATCCATATCTCATCAATCAATGTTAGCTCATAAGTCGGAGTCACCTATAGC